GCCTGAGAAAATATGGAACCTGTTCAGAGACATTGTGGTGTAGTGCTCTGAAGTGCTAAATTAGGATTGGGGAGATATAGGTTCCAGTCCCCTCTCACCTACAGAGGTTCACTTGGTGACCCTGGGCCAGTCTTTATTTCTCAGTTCAACCAGCCTACAAGGACTGTAGGGGAAAACGTGGGAAATGAATACCTGAGATGCTGCCTGTAGGAAAGATGAGATGAATTACTCGCTGCCCCAGCTTTATATTGGCAGCTGTGTGGTAGAACTAAGCTGCCCATTCATATTCATTGGTTATTCTGTATTGGTTAAATAATTGTGTCCCTGAATGTTGAGTTAAATGTTAACTTAATCACAGGTAGATTAGATGTATACATCATGCTAAATCATGGTCTAATGATTTATTGGCTAGGATCATATAACAAAGACACAAAACAGACCACGATGGTTGAGTTCATACAACATAAGCCAAAGCCAAACAAACCACATTTTGGACTAGAATGATAGATGAATTGTTGTAGATGAATTAATGAGACGGAGCAGGCCTAAGACTGGATCCAGTACTGTAATTATTTCACTGTATTTTATGTGGGGCTTTTATGAGTGGAATACCGTAAATCAAACTCCTATAGCCTTACACTTTATTTGCTTATTAATTATATGTACATCCTGCCTTTCTTTTGTGTAACTCAAGGTGGCCTATGTTATGCTGCCTCCTCCTGTTTTCCCCACAGTAATACCCGTTAGATGGGTTGGGCTGAGTGCGAGCGACTGGCCCAACTCACTTCGCCTAAGCGGGGACTTGAATTCAGAATCTCCCAGCTCCTAGTCTAGCACCCGAAATGCTGCATTTGAATGCTCTCTAAATGTACTGGGGTGGGGACGAGCTGAGTGCTTTGTAACTCCCTAATTTTACTGTTGCTTAACACAGTTCCTTTCATTTCCTAGATACGAGAAGCGTCTTTTCTGATGACGGTCCCGTGCTCCTTTCCAGAGCCTCTTTTGCCACGTGGGGCTCCTGTAGCCCCGATCATGAACTGCTCCCTTCACAGAAGTGCCATTTTACTAAAGGGGCAGAGCTGCGTGCCATTCCCCGAATCATCAGCTGCTCTGACCAAGGCTGAATAGAACTTATTCCAGAGTCGGTGCTGTATGCGACAGAAGCCCTGTAGCTGTGTTCTTGCACTATTTTTACAATAAAACTGGAGGAACAGGGCCTTGTCCAACTTTTTCCAGTGCATCTGTGGATGTTTGATATCGGTTCAGCCTGTCTTTTCTGTTGGCAGTTTCTAGAGAATTTGATAGCTACTCTCAAACATGTATCAACAAAACTTTTCATATCTGCGTACAGCCATCCATTTTACTTTCCAGAAAAATGATTTTCACCCACCCCCAGCACAGATGTTGCAACACACGCACACCCTGCCACATTCTTCTTAAAGTCATTCCCAGCTGTTGCTTTGTTCCATATGAGAGATTATTTTTTGGAAGCAAGAGTCTCCTGCTTCCAGAGATTGTTTCATCCACCCAAAAGCGTGTCTAAAGAATTTACACTTAGTGGATACTCAGAATTATATGAAAAAGGCATCTCTTGCTGCTCCAGCCTAATTTTCAGCTTTTAAGCAGAATGTACTTTTCTGTTTTCAAAGCAGGTAGATTTATCATCATATAAGATCAATGTTAGTGGGAGGATTGCTGGTTGTTGTTATATTCTTAGGCCTAGTAGCAGCTTATCTGCTTGTACAAGAAAGATCTTACACTTTTATGTTACTCCCAATGTGCATATTGGCATGTGTAAATGAAGCACTAGCAAAACTACAAATTTACATAACTAAGAATTATGAAATAAAGGTGCTTGAGTCCTTTCCAGGAAAAGGTGATGTTTAAAAATGCTTTTTATAGATGATCATTGCTGTCACACAGAAGAGCATTCCTTAACACTGTGTGCACATGATGTATTTTTACATGTTTTATCAAATATGGACAAGTGGGTTCAGGTCTCTCAGAATCTTGGAATGCTGTATTTGTACTCTGGCCCATTACCCAGATCCTTTGTTCTTCAGAGTTGGGGCTATGCTTTATTTTGGAATGGATCTACAAAACAATAGAGCAAGACACGCATAGACCTCTGGCTGCTGTCACAGTAGCCTGTAACTCTGGCAATGTAACTTTAGGAACTCTCCTTTGATAAAATCACAAGTTTCTCAAATTCAGCCTGTTCTTGTTTCTATGGCCCTGGGAAAGCTAATAGTGAAATGGTTCTTGAGTAATGTTTCTCAACCTTGGCAACATTTAAGATGTCTGGACTCCTAGAATTCCCTAGCCAGCATGCTGGTTGGGGAATTCTGGGAATTGAAATTCAGATATCTGAAGAGTTGCTAAGGTTGAGAAATACTGTTCTAGAGGATAACATGGGAAAATGGACAGATGTTTATTTGGTGACCTATGGAACATACGTTGCTTATGCAAATTGGAGAGCCAAGTTAGTATAGTGGTTAAAGGCACTGGACTAGAAACTAGCAGACCGAGTTCTATTCCTGCCTTAGACACAAGGCCAGCTGGACCTTGTCAGCCCTTCCTAACCACTTCCAAAAATGATGTCAAACCAACTATGTGGACTTGTCTCCATAGTCACCAGGAGTCAAGACTGACTCAAAGGTAGTAAGAAATGCAAATCATGCAGTTTCTTATAGGAATTGAACAGAGAATTGACACTCAGATTTTTTCCTGGGGTCTCTTTTAAGATCTTTAGCAATTTCTTACCCATTTGGCTGCACAGAATGAAAATACCTCAAGTATTTAAGGTATGTATCTCAATGGTTTATACCATATTATAGTGATGCATTCCTTAAAAAATATTTTGGGGAAAGATGTATCAGTAACTTGCAGATACCTTGTGGAGTCCTTGGTGCTCTCTGAGCTTGGTTGCTTGACTGCAGACATTTCATCCCCCAACTAGGTAACATCATCAGTGCTAGTAAGTGTGGGGTTTGCTCCCTGGTTTTTTATACAGTAGATTGCCCTGCCAGTGTTTGTGGGGGTGTGGTTTTCTCCTTGGTTTGTTGTTGTTAAGTCGTGTCCGACTCTTCGTGACCCCATGAACCATATTGCGCCAGGCCTTCCTGTCCTTCACTGCCTCCCTGAGTTTGCTCGGTTTCATGCTCAAAGCAGGGATTAACACCAGACAAACAAGTAGAAAACAATAATCAAGGAACTCCCCGTACCTGTCTCCTGAGAAATCTCTATGCGGGCCAAGAAGCAACAG